CTGGATTACTCAGAACCGACCACGATCAAGCAGTTGCGAACTTTCAATGGCCTTGTAAGTTTCTACAGACGGTTCATACCTAAATGCGCATCTCTTATGAAACCGTTAACCGATCAGCTTCGTGGAAATGCAAAATCAATTAGTTTAGACGACACAACCCGTAAAGCATTCCACAGTTAAGGAACACATCGTTAAGGCAACCCTGCTTGCTCATCAGGACACTCAAGCGCCCATTAGTATCGCCGTAGACGCATCCGACTCAGCAATCGGAGGAGTCTTACAACAATGGGTTAACAACTCATGGCAACCTTTAGGATTTTTCTCGAGACGGATGCTAGACGCGGAATCTAGGTACAGCACGTTCGGTAGGGAACTCCTAGCTATGTATTGTGCTGTACGAAATTTCCAACATTCCATCGAAGGAAGAGAATTCACGCTTTTTACCGATCACAAACCTCTTACCTTCTCTTTAAGTTCATCTTCAGACAAGTACTCACCGCGAGAGTCTCGACAACTCGACTACATTTCGCAGTTTACTTCAGACATACAACACGTTTCTGGAGCAAACAATGTAGTCACAGACGCCTTATCTCGAATAAGTTCCTTGAACAGTTTCCAAGGAATCGACATTGTTAAACTCGCTCAGCTTCAAAAAGAAGACATTGATCTTCAGCATGAGTTATCCTCGACAACTCTTAAACTAAGTATTAAGCAGATGGGAACAGATAAGGAAACCTTACTTTGCGACACATCTACAGGTAGGGATCGTCCAATAGTACCAAAACATTATCGCCGCAACGTCTTCAATACGTTGCACAATCTTTCTCATCCAGGTGCCCGTGCAACAATCAAGGTTATAGCCGAACGGTTTTGCTGGCCTGGCATGAATAAAGACATGAGGGAGTGGACACGCTCCTGTGTAAGCTGTCAGAAATCTAAGGTCATAACACACAACAAATGTCCCTTAGGCTCTTTCAAACCCCCTGACGCTCGTTTCGACCACGTTCACCTAGATTTGGTAGGACCGTTACCCGATTCAAACGGATACTCATATCTCTTAACATGCATAGACCGTTTTACTCGATGGCCAGAAGCAGTACCGGTTAAGGACATTACTGCTGAATCTGTGGCTCGCGCTTTCGTCAAACGATGGGTAGCAAATTTCGGCTGCCCTTCAACCATCACTACAGACCACGGACACCAGTTCGAATCTGGAATTTTCCGTTGTCTGACCTCACTATTAGGAATCACGCGCTTCCGAACGACCGCCTACCACCCACAAGCAAACGGGTTGGTAGAACGTTTTCATAGACAACTTAAAACTTCATTATCAGCTTCAAACGTTTCACAGTGGACAGACGCTCTTCCACTCGTCTTGCTAGGTATCCGCAATGCAGTGGAAGCTGACATTGGATACACTGCATCCCAACTCGTTTACGGGACGACACTCCGACTTCCAGGAAAATTCGTAGATCCTTCAGCTTCTCCATTGAACATGGATCTAAACTCTTACACGAGTAGGCTTACAAACGCTATGCGTTCAGTTAAACCTGCTCACACTCGGTCGAAATCAACTGATGTTTTCGTTCAACCTCAATTACGACATAGTACACACGTCTTCGTTCGTCGAGATTCACATGGACGACCTTTCAAATCAGCATACGAAGGACCCTTCAAAGTTATTCAACGTGAGCCCAAGTACTATGTAGTGGATAAGAACGGTACGAACGATAGCATCAGTATCGATCAACTCAAAGCAGCGTACTTAGAAGGAAACCCTAGCCACGTCGATTTTCCTTCGGTACAATCATACGACGCGGCTCCTACACTCATAGTACCCTACACGACAGCCGACACACAACTTGATACTTCGTCAACGTTGATAGATAAACCTAAAACAACGCGTTCTGGAAGAAGAGTAAGATTTCCAGAACATCTTAACGACTATGGTACGTAGGACATAAAATTTACCTCGAATTCCCCTTTCATTGTTTATTATAAAAAATAATTTTTTTGATATGCTCAATTTTTTTTATTTATTTAAAGAAAAACAAAAAAACATTATTCTTTTGAGCGTATTTATATTTTTTTATACATAAAGAAAACCAAAAACCTTTTTTTCCCGATAGCTTTTACGCTGTTTGCAAGTGTATTAGTCTATTTATTTTTTTCCCGCTCATCTTGTGTCCTTACGCAAGTACGAGTGTATTTTCGACATGCACTCACACGTTCTATTTTTTCTCTTTTCCAGGACGGCTGGTGAAGAACGACGTAGTTTCCCAAGGAACCGAAATTTTCATTGTATTTTATTTTTTAATTGCTATGTTGTGCCTCATGGTCCCTTAGTTTAAGGAAAGACGACCAGACGCTGCTCAACATAGCAAACCGTCAGAAGAGTGTTTACCAACGACAAACTCGTTGGGCTTAAACTTCTGGCTGGTCACGTCTTAGGGGCATCACTACCTCACTATGGGGGGGGAGTGATCTGTAGCTGTAAATAATTCCCGAAAATCAATAGCTCATTAAGTGTTCGACATTGGATGCTGACCACGTCGTTTAAGTAGACTTGTTTAACTGAAGGCATTCGGTCACGTATTCGTACCAGCTCACGTTTCAACTCGGCGTGGGACACAGCTCCCACGTTTCAAAAGATAGCTAAGATCAAATGCCTCTCGTTATATTGATAACGTATCAAATATATTTTTCTTACCTCTTCTCGTCTGACTTCTGATTTCCTTTGACCGGGAACGATCGAATATAGCAGGTACTACTGGTTGCTAGTTGTTAAACTAGAATACTAGTCGTATCCTCAACTCTGATTAAGAGGTGACCTGATTTTGATGTATAGAATACTAAGGGACGATTTTAGACATGGTATATCCCCCCTTTTACTTCCCAGTAGATCGGGAAATCTCAGAGGACATATTAGGCGAGTGGAAAAGTCAAGGACGAACAAAATACCCGTGGCATACAAGTTTCCACATCCAGTCATCAATTTTTGGAACATGTTACCCGAAGCAGTGGTATCCTCACATTTAATTGAGTCATCCAAGAGAAGAATAGAAGCTCACAGACGCATACTGGGAAAGGAATAACATAGCCCGTAGGCTTTCTGTCTCTACTACATAACTGAATTCTGAATCTTTGTTTTTCCGGACAGGACGAAACTAGTCCTTGAAAGTGGTTTTAAGATCCTGACGTTCGTATCACGTTTTCGCTGGTAATGTACTTTGTCCTGCAGAGTTGTCAAACTCGAGTAAGATCTGTTGTTTACGAGCAGTTTTTCTCAGATTGGTTTCATTGGCTCCATAACAATCTTTAGAAGATTATCAACATCCGTATGCTTGCATAGGGAGTTCTACTGGAATGATCGATGCGATAATAATGAAGAGGTAAATTAACAAAGTTAGTGACTGTTTATTTAGATTACAAGAGATTTTTTCTGTTAGACTATTAATGTTGATGGAAGTAGTTCTTATTTTTATTTGTTTTAACATTTGCTCCATTTGCTCCGTTATTTAAGGCGTTGGTTCGGGGCACCGGTCTGAACCGGGTCATGGATCGAATCCCGGGCAGAACATACTTATTTTTGGTCCACCAGGGTGTTTGGTACCTGAGTGGTTGCGCCACAGGATTGGGCTGAGCTGTTCGGATTGTAACGTTGAAGCCTTTATAGTGCCTGGTTCCCCCATAGGGCGGGATTGAGCTGTACTACTTGGGCTAAGCCTGGGCAGTGTCTGGCTCTCCTGTTAAACGTGATTAAGCTGTACTGTTTGGGTTGCTGCGTGAAGGTCTGGATGATGTCTGGTTCACCTGAAAACCAGTGCAAGATTACCCTGGCCCACAAGGTATATTATATATATATATATATATATATATATATATAAGTTGTCGTCCATTCAGGTTTTCTGGGAATAGTCGGTAGTTGTGCAGTAGCTGAAGGCCAGCTAAACTGCTCCTTAAAGTGTTCCGCCCATCGTTCTAAACGTTTGGGTTGAGAGTACATAAGGGTTCCATCTTTTTCCGAGATCGTCTCACTTACACTTGACTTCTTAATTCCGGTTTCTTTTATTAGTCTGAATAGTTGTCTGGTGTTGCCTACAGCCGCTGCCTTTTCCATCTCTTTTGCTGTTGGTCCTTCACGATTCCTTGGTTGGGGTCCGAGAAATGGTGCAACACAGTGGCTAGAGACGTCAGATATGGTTCAGAATGGGAGCCAGTGGCGATCCTTCTGTGACCTTTTATTTTCCTCATAAAATGTGGCCGTAACTTCTCTAACTGGAAGAATTCTTTCTGGTTGTACCTTTCTGTTTCATCTATTACTATTATTTTTTCACTACCGTGCACTAATGTGTGGTTGTTATTGTTCTTTTTTTCTTATATACACCTTACCTTTTTCTCTTTCTATTCTCATTGTTATTGTGTAGTGCATATATATCTGGTGCGCCCTTGTACCAATATTTGTGCTTAAATAAAATAGTAATATTATATCCTTACTCTACATGCTTGAATAAGGCGTCCGAGTATTACCTCTAGCGATCACACAGAAAGTGCACATAAGGATGAGCTTACAAACATTCATTTGGTTGCTGATTTATTTTTTTATTCTTAGTTTCACACCACTCATAAAGACAATATGCTACAGATACATAAAAGCATGTTGGATATTCAATCCACTTCCGGAGCCGGGATTAATATTTAACCTCAAGTAAAACCAATCTGTTTATCTCAGTTACGTACCATTGTTGCATTGTGTCAATCACATTGTAGTGAACGAGAACACGAGTGGGGACAATCAAATGTATTCAAGCACAAATTGCAAACTATCTCACTAAAATTTGATAACCAGACAGTAAACAATTAATTTGCAAAACAACAATCAATTGTCTCAATCTTGGCTGTTCCTTCTGTAAATATCAGTCCATCTTCTCTGATATAATTGTTCATGCATTTTCCTACCAATTGTGCTTCACTTCAGTTCTTTCCTTATCGATCTTCTGCCAAAATACATTCTATGCCTGACCCTCACCATATACTACTTTTGTGGATACAAGTAACCCACACCACAATATGAGTTCAGATACTGCATGTTTTCTTATAAATGGGCTAATCTCTCCAAAGAATAGTTATCTCTTGCTAAATAAGTTCAAATATTCCCCAAAAAACTAGTCGTTTTAAACTGCTTCTAGTGATTAAAATCTCTTATAACCATAATGTGGAGTTTTCGTGATAAATAATCACGCATAATAGTGTTTTTGAGTTTACAACGAAAGTGCTTTCATTAGTCAGATTAAAATATGACCATGGGAGAAAATTCTACCGAAAATTGATGAATTCCCAATCGATCCTATCTCAACTAATAGATTAAAGCAACGTTGTCAGATTAATTATCATAAAACTCTGAATACTAAGAAGCACAAGAATTTGCAATAGATGTCGATTAAAAATTCCCGTGATGATTATAAGGAGTGATAGAAAGAGAAAGTGAAGAAAATTCGTAAAATGCTTGTAAGTCGATATGATTATTAATTTACCAACGTTTTTCTGTTACTGGGTGTTAAAAATAGAATTATTTACCTAGTTCTCGTTTATTTTTCTTAGAAATTCGAAAAAGTACTCATAGCAAATCGAGGTGAAATCGCCTGCCGTATAATCCAGTCATGTAAACGATTAGGGATTCGCACTGTCGCTATTCACAGCGAAGTGGATTATTTATCTCGTTTTGTGTCTATGGCGGACGAAGCAGTATGTGTTGGTCCATCTCCAAGCGCCCAATCTTATCTAAATATCTCTGCTATTTTAAACGCTGTGAAATCGACAAGTGCCCAAGCAGTACACCCTGGTTATGGTTTTTTGTCAGAAAACACTCTTTTTGCCGCGGAGTTGGAGAAAATGAATGTTGTCTTTCTTGGTCCTAATTCTAGGGCTATCAAAGCTATGGGAGATAAAATTGAGAGCAAACGAATTGCTAATCAAGCTAAAGTTAATTGTATCCCAGGTTATGATGGAGAAGTGGATGACCCAGATGAAGCTGCTAGGATTGCTGCTGAAATCGGTAAAATTTTTGTATAATTTCCTCGACATAAAAATATGTCAAAAACTTGTATCCATTTTAATTGTCGTTTATTACGATTTATTCACAGTAACTCTGAAATATTCCTTTACAAATTAAATAATATAAAATTCTTAACCCAGTTAAATAAAAGTAATAAAATCTACAGGATTTTATACTTCGGTTATAACGTGAATTGACCTAGGGCTAGATAATAAATCACTAAATATAATGTTCTAGTTTAGTTTATTCTAATTCTTCAAATAAATTCATAGACAGTCGTAAACAAATTATTTTAATACTATTGTAATTTTGTTTTCATAATTCAACACAACTGATCACATCTCATATATATGTTGTAATGTTTATATACGACAGTTTTTGTATTTGTACTTTGATTCCTCTTACCTTTATAGGTTATCCTGTTATGATTAAGGCATCAACAGGTGGTGGAGGTAAAGGTATGCGTATAGCATGGGATGAAAAAGAGGTTCGTGAAGGTTATCGACTTTCTAAATCGGAAGCAAAAGCCAGTTTTGGAGATGATCGCATGTTAATTGAAAAATTTATAGACAATCCAAGACACATTGAAATACAGGTAGTTCTTATTGCGTTACAGTATTTTTATTATTTCTTTTCTTTGAATGATCGTAATGAATTGTAACTAATTCATATTTTAAATGTGCAAATGTTGGAATTGTCACTGAGGATGAACACATCAAAATCCGACTCAATACTTCTACCTGGCTCTCCTGAGTAGTGAAGGCAACCTTGCTCGCTAATTTGGGCGGTCGACGGTATCGGGTTGATCATTATGCTGTAAACCGGATTAACTGGGTTCCATTTTCGGAGCTCTTTAAAACCTTGCGGACTGCCGTATGTGTGTACTTATATATGTGAATCGCATGAGTCCCGGCTTGTGTGGTTTATGTATGTAGATATATTCAAAAGGTATGCAGGTGGGCTCGCACAAGAAACGTAGGCTGAGAAAATACCTGTTATATGTCTAATGAAGTCAGCAATCTAGTCCTTCAGGTCGAAAACATAATAAAAGAATATGGTTGCAAACACTGGGGAGGAGTGATTATCAATCCCCCCTGAAAGGGTGTCTATGCTTATGTGTATGTCATGAAGTGCAGGGCGAAAGTCTTTGTAACAGTGATATACATGTAATGTGTAAGTGACAATCATCTGTAATAAATCCGTTTGAACGGAGCAGCGATCATCTACTTTCCCGTGTAGGTGAATATGCCTATATGTATCCTATAAGATGCATGAGTGAAAACTCGTATTACCAGTGTACATGTAACGTATTTTGCTCGTAAGGTAAGTATGTCTATGTCTATGCCAAGGGATGAATAGGTGAAAAATTATGTTACCGGTATGCATGTAAATTATACTTGCACCTGGTGCGGTGCTCGCTCTCCAAGACCTGTGGGTAACGATTTCTCCACGCAGTCACATCCACCCGGTGGGCTTTTGAGGCTTGTAAGACGGAAATAATTTCCAGGAAAGCCAATCGTTTTCAGTTAATAAGACTTGACCAACCTTAACACGGCTGGGGCACCGTACCGTACTGAGGATGAAAATGATAAGTATAAATAAATAAATAATTTTGTGTATAGTTTTTTAAGCATATCTGTTATTGTTGATTTTTTAGTAATCTCCTTATGCTTTATTTTCATTTGTAGTTTTTGCGTGTTAATTGGATAAACTCTATGTCCATGGCATCACCTGTACGGGCTTCAGATGTTTTCATAATTAAAATCCTATTCCATCTACTTAATTAGTTAGACCACGCTTCATGTAAGACGTAATTTCCTGAAGAATATATCAGTTGATGAACTGTGCAGAAATAGTGTAAATTTAATTTCTTCTGTGTCTTACACTCAGTCTTTTTCCTTTGAGTCATCGTTTTAGGGAAGGAGATTTTGTGTTAATCGTTTTCGTCAACGTTTCATCCTACACCGTTATATTATTTACATTTGCTTATCTGATCTGTAATTTAGCAGCCACCAAAGTCTAACACCTTTAGTTCACCTAAAATAATCCACAATCTCCCCATTCTTAAGGAGGGAATTAAATAAACCTTAGGGGTGTTAACTTTTAACTTTTTCATCGTTATTATGCGTCATATAGTGTGTAATATTGAACCTGCTATGTGCATCTATTACCATAGTAACTCTCCTATCCTGGTTGCCAGCATTTGTATGCAGCAAGCTGTAACTGTTAAATGGTTCAGCTTCAGCTTTCAATGAGTCGGAGTTATTCTTATCTCACGTCACCGTTGTTACGAATTTGTCTTCATTGTGAATAGTAGCAACTTCGCCTGTAGCTCTTCGAGAGTTACTGCCGGTCCTAAGCCCGGGTAAAGGAGGAGGGTTGGGTATGGGGTTAGCGACCCCATCCCGTAGAAAAGCTAACTCGCTAAAAAAACGCTAACCAGAAATGCTGGTGAGCGGCCTATGCTCCTCGACGAGGGGTAACAGGCGTAAGTAAGTAATGAATAGTAGCAAGAGTTATATTCTTTATTCGGCTACCTATTGTTCTGGAGATAAACAAATAGAAACCAACATATTTTTCCTCAAATCATGGACCAATTCGACTTGCTATGCTTAACAGAAATAAAAAAATTAGTGCGTAGAGTAATGCGTAATAAGATTTTCAATATATTACTTACTTACGCCTGTTATCCCTCGTGGAGGAGCATAGGCCGTCCACCAGCATTCTCCATCCAGCCCTGTCCTGGGCAATCCTTTCCAGTTCTTCCCAGTTAACATTCATCCTTTTCATATCTGCTTCTATTTCCCGACGTGATGTGTCCTTTAGCCTTTCTCTTTCCCGCTTCCCTTCACCATTCCAAGTTATGGCTTGCCTCATGATGCAGTTTGGTGATTTCCTCAAAATATGTCCGACCCACTTCCGTCTTTTCCTAATTTCCTCTTCCACTGAAAGCTGGTTTATCCTCTCCCACGAAAGGCTGTTGCTGATAGTATCCGGCCAGTGAATGTTGAGTATTTTGCGAAGACAACTGTTTATAAATACTTTTACCTTCTTGACGATAGTTGTAGTAGTTCTCCACGTTTCAGCTCCATACAGTAGAACTGTCTTGGCGTTCGTATTGAAGATTCTCATTTTGAAATTAGTTGTAGGAATGCTGTCCTTGCTTTGACAATCCTTGCCTTTACATCTGCATCAGATCCTCCTTGTTCATCAGTGATGTTTCCCAGTTACGTGGATGTTTCCACCTCTTCCCGAGTTTCTCCATCAAGTGTGACTGGGTTGGTGTTCTCTGTGTTGTATTTGAGAATCTTGCTTTTTCCTTTGTGTATGTTAAGGCCTATTGATGCAGAGGCTGTTGCTACATTTGTTGTCTTCGTCTGTATTTGTTGGTGTGTATGAGATAGGTGGGCTAGGTCATTGGCGAAGTCCAAATCGTCTATTTGCTTCCGACCCGTCCAACGTATTCCGTGCTTCCCCTCAGATGTCGAGGTTTTCATAATCCAGTCAATCACCAGAAGAAAGAGGAAGGGAGAGATTAGATAGCCTTGTCTGACTCTTGTCCTTACTAGAAATGCATCTGTCAGCTGTCCTTCATGCACGACTTTGCACTGTAGCCCGTCGTTCTGGATAATGTTGACAATCTTAGGAACTCCATAGTGTCAAAGAAGTTTCCTTAATCTCCTGTTCACACTGTCAAATGCCTTCTCATAGTCAATTAATTTGATGTAAAGTGATAAATTCCATTCAATTGATTGTTCCACGATGACCCGTAGTGTCGCGATATGGTCTGTGCACAACCGATCCTTACGGAATCCGGTTTGTTGATCTCGATGTCGGGCGTGTACTGCGTCTTTCATCCGGTTCAGCAACACTCTGTTGAAAATTTTTCCTGGAACTGACAACAGTGTGATACCTCTGTAATTCTAACATTTGTTCAGATCTCCTTTCTTTCGTACTTGTTCTTCCTCTCAAATCTCCTTGAATAGAAGGTGAAACATGCTTTCAGTTACTTCAAAGTTTGACTTCAGTGCTTCTGCTGGTATATTGCCAGGTCCTGCCGCCTTCCCACTTTTGATTTGTCTGATGATCATCTTGACTTCTTCGATCGTTGGTGGAGTGACATCTATTGGAAGGTCAGTGTGGGCTGCTTCGATGTTCGGTGGATTATATGGGGCTGGTCTGTTCAGCAGTTCTTCGAAGTATTCTGCCCATCTTTTCCTCTGTTCTTGAATCACAGTGATTGTCTTTCCTTCTTTGTCCTTGACTGGTCTCTCCGGTTTACTATATCTCCCTGCCAATTTCTTCGTTGTATAATACACTTGTTTCATATTCCCTTCTCTTACAGCTTTTTCTGCCGTCGTTGCTAGTTCTCCCATGTATTTCTGCATGTCGGCTTTAATGCTCTTCTTCACTTGCTTGTTTGCTTCTGCGTAGTCTGCTTGTGCTTTGACTTTCTCTGCTCGTGTTCGGCTGTTGTTAATTGCTAGTTTCTTGTTCTTCCTTTCTTGAATTTTGTCCAGGGTTCCCATAGAGATCCATTCCTTGTGATGATGCTTCTTAGGACCAAGAACCTCCTGACACGTTGAAGTTAGTGCTTCTTTTATCCCTTTCCAGTTGTCCTCCAAAGTAGTTTCTTGTTCTTTCAGTAGATCCTGTAGAGCTTGGAACCTGTTGTTGAGTTATCTTGAATTCATTGAGCTTGTCAATATCTCGAAGGAAGGCCGTATTGAACCTTTGTAGTGCTGTTTGCCCAGTTGTCCAGTCTTTCTTTAGCTTCAGTCTCATCTTGGCCACAACCAGGTGGTGGTCTGAAGCTATGTCAGCTCCTCTCCGGGTTCTCACATCTTCCATTGATCTTCGGAATTTTTTGTTGATACAGATGTGATCTATCTGGTTCTCTGTGGTTTGGTCCGGTGAGATCCATGTAGCTTTTGTATGCGCTTGTGTGGGAATATTGTGCCGCCTATAACCAATTTGTTGAATACACATAGGTTTGCAAGTCTCTCCCCATTTTCATCTCTCTCTTCTAGTCCATGTCGTCCGATTATATCTTCATATCCTGTGTTGTCCACTCCAACTTTAGCATTTAGATCTCCCATCAGGATGGTAAGGTCCTTTCGTGAGCACTTTGCTATAATTGATTGCAGCCTCGAGTAGAACTGGTCTTTATCATCGTCGTTGTTATCATTGGTGGGTGCATAACATTGGATAACGTTCATTGTGATCCCTTGCTTCTTTGTTCTGAATGATGCTTTGATTATCCTGGGTTCATGAAATTCCCATCCCACAAGTGCATTTCGTGCCTCTCTGGACAGCATTAGAGCAACTCCCTGAGTGTGCGCAGCATTTTCCTCTTCGTGATTGGAGTACAGCAACATCTCTCCAATACCTAGCCTTTGCTGTCCAGCCTCGGCCCAATGGGTTTCGCTGATTCCAAATACTGCCAATTTGTATCTCCTCATTTCCATTGCTATTTGGCTGGTTTTTCCTGTCTCCCACATTGTCCGGACGTTCCATGTACCCATAAAAATTGTTTCTCTGGTTGTTAGAAGGGAAATCGGTCTCGTGACTTCCGGGAAATCTCGGCTTTCATCCTGAGGCGTCATAATTCTCCCTTCAACTCCCAGGGCAGAGTTTAAATGGTTTGAATTATGTTTTCTGGTTAGTGTTTTTCTAGCGGGTTAGTTTTCTACGAGATGGGGTCGCTAACCCCATACCCAACTCTCCTCCTTTACCCGAGTTCGGGACCGGTAGTAACTCTAAAAGAGCTACAGGCGGAGCTATATATATATAGTTGAATCGTCAGTGTTGACTTGTCTTCTTGTGCTTCCGCCCGCTGATCCTTATCATCTTGAGGACTTTACCCTCTAAACATTTATACCACCAAAAAATTCAGAACAACTGTATAGACTAACACTTTGTTTTGTTTTCCTAACTTAATTCAAGATCCTGCCTTGTAATATATGAGATACGCACTGCATAATACACACAGTTCAGTCAATGTGGGCTTTTTATTTCATCAGCTTATTATCTTTTCCGGAACTTTGCTTATAATCTTAACACTCCTTGCTCAGTGGTTTCTTTGTGCGAGCAATGCTTTGGAGATGCCTTGCTCTCTCTAATAATGCACATAAAATCATCATTTAAAGAGTTAGAGCCTTTTAGTTATGTGTTCACACAAAACAACATCCATAAATGTTAACCACAATTTGGAATGGCAAAATACTATTTTTGGTCCCTAAATTATATTTTAACAAATTATATATCTGTAGAAGAAATCTTCCAGAGAGATTACATGAATTGAACACTATAAGAACCTCCCTTTTATTTAAATATGATCAACTAGAAAGCAGTTAGCAGTAACATGAACACTGTTGGCACAGGTTAACATTGTTTATTAACAATTATGTCTTGACATTTACAACTCCTAAGTTGATATTCGAGTTCAAACCACCTTGAAAAATTAAATAATTGGTTTCGTTAGTTTGTTATCTATGGTAGTATATTTGCTTTACAGGACTAAGATTTCTTTTGGGTTGTCGGAAAGACATTTGCTAAAGGAATCTATTACTTCAGTGAACTTTCATTATTGAATTCTTTTTTTCATTGTTATCTTGTAATTTATATTTATTTATTTAAACACATAAATATTGGTACAATGAAGCACCAGATAAATATGCGCCTCACAAATCTCATTCGATTTGTGTGAGGGCTGTGATACTGCCCAGGTGCCCAGACTGAAGCAGGTGGTTTTCTTAGGGGACCACACCCGGAGCCTTTGACCTGAATGTCTGATCCACAAGGCAGTGGAGCATCGTGAGGAGATGCAGTCCCATGGTAGCCGTTGACCAATGACAGGTTCGTCCGCCATTCGTTCCATCAGGATACTGGAGCCCATGTGCATCATTGGTTTGGAATCAGGGTTTTCCAACTCCCCTAGGTGGACCCTCCGTGTCCACCAACCCGGTTAAAGCGCCGGACATTCGCTTTTCGTCCTCTCACTTTCGTAAACAACACCCCCTCCGCGAGAAGGCAGTGAGTAGGACTTCCCTGGCAGAGGCTATATATTCGCTGGCCATATGAGAATATTTCGAGAGGAAGAGGTGACTCTCCCCACTCTCGGCCGTACCAGGGCATTTGGGGGCATCTTGTAATTTATTTTGCATATTGAATCCTGTTTAAAATTTATCTTAATTTGACGGTTTGTCAGACTTACTGATTTGAAGCTTTCGCTATGAACTGACATCAATTAAAGAACTTTCTGTAAATAGTAAGCTGTGTTTCATGTTTCAGTTTGACCTCTAATCACTACATAATTGATACGAGGTGTTCCTAGTGGAATGTGATAGCCATGAACTCATTCCAGAAAAGGAATCACAACCCTGGACAGGAAAGTTTTACTGCGTCGTGTGGTTATGACTAGTTTACAAGTTAATGTAAGTTTGCAGACTGAAAACATCGAACATTCTCACTCTATCTGTATGTCACGTAATATCGAGTATTACAATATTTCGTAGGACTTTTGTAAACATAAGAAAGCGTGTTATTATTTTATGAATGCTAGTAATATTGTAGAGCTTCCCGTTCTTCCGACTCAAATTAATATCCATAGACTAAATTTGACTTTTCGTTATTTATCATACAGCTACTGTGTGACAGACATGGGAATGCAATTTATCTTAATGAACGGGAATGTTCCATTCAAAGACGCAATCAGAAAGTCATTGAGGAAGCACCTAGCACATTTTTGGACTCAGCTTTGCGTAAAGCAATGGGTGAACAAGCTGTCTCGTTAGCCAAAGCAGTCAATTATGATTCTGCAGGTGAGAAATATATACCTGTATGTTTCATGAAATCGTAACTATTGTTAATCTTTAAATTAATTGTGTTTGTAATCTTTTTAAATGATCGTCCTGAGTATCATCGCATTATTTTTTCCATGTTTACTATTTTTGTTGTGAAATAAAAATGATCAATTTCAATAGTGAATAGAATTTATCATCAGATATAGGGGAAATACATTCTCTACAAAGCGTGTATTTCTACATATAACTATCAAGTGTTGATCTAGTAGTTATGTTAAAGCCTTCCTATTGTAGATGCACAATTTGATAACTCTAGGACAATAATGTAGTGGGCTTTTTAATAATAAGTTACTTTTCTTCATCCCTTTTATTTTTAATATGAAGTGTGAATTTTATTTATCAGTTCTGAAGGACTGAATGATCAAACAGGCTTTTTCATTAAAATGACTTGCGTAAGCTGCAAACTCTTGAGGATGAACATACATCACTCATTATATATCCTTATTATATTTCTGTTTATTAACTCTGCAAGAATGGCAGGAGCCTGTGCATGTGCTTACTTCTTATGGCGAACCGTTAAACTTGGTGGGAGATTTCATGTATTTGAGTAACTATATGGGTGCTGGTTTTGGGATGGCAACTGAGACCAATCAACACATCATGAAAGAAAGAGCAGATTACGATAATCTTGCTATGTTTGGCACCGTCACGACTGTCTAGCTGTAGAAAATTAGATTTACTCGTCGGTGAGGGCGATTTCTCGTTGTTTGTGGTACCTGTTCCTTTCAAACTGAAGAGATTTGGGGACTTTTATTTCAATCATGGTTATCTTGGAAGGATTGCTAACATCCGACGACAACTCCGTGTTAGTGATAGTGTGGTTAAAAAGATGTTTGTTCAGGTGCAGTGACAATTAAGTTGGTGTCATCATCTTAAAGCACTATTTTCGATGGCTTGGTGATGTTTTACGAACACCATCTAAGCGGAGTCCGAGTCCTCGATCATTTTCCGGTGCTAGGACTATGTAGTAAAAGTGTAAAAGGTGATTACTTTATGACAGTGTCATAGCATGGGAGATATTTGTATAGGACTGCTATCACGATTGTGCAGCTGGTGTCCTGGAGATTGTGTTAGTGGCTTGTGGCGTAATCACAAATGACTAATAATAAGAACCAATGACGGTCGCACTACAGTTTTCTATTACACTTCATAAAAGTGAGATGTACTTCTAACTAAAATGTAATTCATTTTTTGTTCATTTCCTTATTGGTTTCACTACCCTTTTCTCCTGTATTTCTTCCAAATACTGTCGCTTTAATTGTGTGGTCCATTTTTCGCTTGCCTACTTCACTTTAATCTATGTACATTAATTAACTTCTATCTCTGTACAAAATTACTAAACGGATCGTTAATCTCTCTAACTCTATTTCACTACTTTTAGATGTCTAGGAAATCTGACTTCTTATTTTTCTCAAATACAAAGATCATACAAATATTATTGTGAAGACGTTCGAATTATGTTAGAAACTGTTTAACTGATTGTCATCAGTGACTAAAGAGCCAAGATGATGATGCCCTTATGAAGTAAATTTATAACCCATATTTCTCACCGCTTTCTTGTTGAAACTTTCTACTAAGAAATTTGACAGAAGACTATTCATCGGAACATTATTGACCCATTTCACTTGTAACAAACCAAATTTAAGGTTCACAATTTCGTAAATAAAATAAATATTTTGTCCAGGGTTATGATTTTCAATCTATGCAAAGTGTTTATTTAATGTATTTTAAATTTTTATGGTGCGAAATTTTTTAGGAACCGTTGAGTTTTTGGTTGATTCCAAACGTAATTTCTATTTTCTTGAGATGAACACTCGACTTCAAGTAGAGCATCCAATCACTGAGTGTATAACTGGTGTTGACATTGTACATCAAATGCTTCGAGTTGGTAAGGGGCATCCTTTAATGCTATCTCAGGTGAGATTTATGCAGTTCTAGATGTAATCTAATCCTACATAAATTATCTCTACTTTTCTGTTGTTACTGTGCTCTAAAGTAATAATTTGCTTATTTGATTTTCCACTCTGGTTACTGTCAAATGCATACAATTGGAACATAGCGCTAAAAGTGGGTAACCAGAGGGATAAATTTAAAAAGTAAAACGCAAACAGCATAAGTGTTACTTTAAGAATTTCAGATTTTAAATTGAGACTAAAATAAACTAATATTTTTTTCATTTATTGGCTAAGTAGCAACTTTTCGTATAGTTTGGCGCCTTGTTTCAATAAATGGTTAGATAGGAGTGTTAAGAAGGCACAGTATATCGTACGTAGTTTTTAGATACTGGATTTGAACTACACCGGACGGTATTCGCGTGACTTATATGACTAGTTATAAGTAGAAAATCAGTGAATGGATATTATCAGTTTAAACACTGTGGTCTTTACACACAACCAAAGTACTTCGAATGGATTGGGAACCCAGTAAATAATAATGTATTATGTATAATTTTTCTGATTTTTAAATGGAGTATGACTTTCAATTAGTTTTATTTTTACTCACTACATTAGAAAAATCTTTATAACTTCAAATCATTCCAATCAATCTTTATTTTCAAGTAATCTAAGTGAAAGTTGTATTATCCTACTTAGAATCAAGTATACTAAATTATTTGTAATTTGGAATACCATCTTAATCTCTTAAATGATCATGTTTTAGTGACCCAGTATTTGATTCCAATTAGATCCTATGAATAATTGCTGTCGAAATATGTCGCCAGTCCTCGTATATAATCATTGACTTGAATCGTGTGAGCGTATAACGGAAATGTAATAAGTCAAATACGGGATTATGCGCGGTGAGGAAGGCATGTAAGCCAACTCAATTTAATTAAGCGTTAATCGACATTTATAATCACACAAAAATAAGTTACAGACATGTGATGAGTAGGATAAGAAATGTATACACATACGATCAGATAAAAACAGTTAAGATCAATAAGCGAATAATTCACAAGGTCAAAATGTGATTTAAGAACAGTGGTTAAATTGGCTTGTCTGGAAGTCAGAATAAGCTATGTGGGCTTATCATAGCAACCGGCACTACAACGCCTACAAATTAGATAATTCTTCTACCACATTAATCATTCAGTGTTGCAAAGATTAGTAGCAGTGAATTTGATTTTACTACTTTGTCAGCGTATTTATTTGGAACAGGGGATTCAAAGTACTGATGGGCCATTTTCTGGACACAGCCCTTTATTCTCTTTACCTATTGAAATTACAGACACTATCCTGTCTTCATATTACTTTAAGATATGAATGGTAATTGTTACTATAATGGTTTTAATCAAAGTTAAAAATTCAGTGAAATAATATATTGTAAATAGACGATACGTTATCGGAATTTTTTGTCATCGATTTAATCTGTTTATTTCTCTTGTCTTGCGATTTTTTAAAGTTAGGTCTTAAGTTTCTGCTACAAATCTTACTAACCGAATACAGATATGTGTTAAGAAATTGTCTTTAAATACGGAATTCATTCTTTCAGATCGTTTAATGTGTCGATACTTTTTAAGAGAAACATCTTAGACCACCTGGCAGTAATGTTGTAATTGTGGATATAGGTTAAAAAATAAACGGTTATAGGTTGTTTGTACCTTCTGAGTTCTAATACGTCCATAATTATTACTTTGATTTGTTTTATTATTAGATTATTTTTATTGAAATATGTATTGTACTCGTTTTCCCTCTTAAGTATCATTCAGTCTACCAAATAATCCATTTCAGTGCATTGTGTACTCCTTTTAAATTTTCATTTCAACCAGTCTGATATTCCCGTGAATGGATGGGCTTTTGAGTGTCGTGTATATGCTGAAGATCCATACAAAGCGTTTGGTTTACCGTCAATCGGGCGCTTACGTACCTACAGTGAACCTTTGCACATACCTAATGTCCGCTGTGATAGTGGAGTCAATGAAGGATCGGAGATCTCTATATACTATGATCCTATGATATGTAAACTTGTTACATATGGACCAGATCGTCAAACTGCCCTAAACACTATGACCAAAGCTTTGGACAGTTATGTTATTCGTGGTGTGACTCATAATATTCCTTTGCTTCGTGATATTGTCACCGAAAAACGTTTTGTATCTGGGGATATTTCGACAAAGTATCTATCTGAAGTGTATCCTGATGGATTCAAAGGTTCGTTTTATTCTAAATATTTAGCGGTTATTTTATAAACAAATCCAATCGCATATAATTTTTTAGGTGGCTATTAGAGTCTTGTTAATATTAAGATTTCAAGAATATGTACCTGGATATCATGGTAAGCACATATTTTGTTTGTGAAGATCCTCTTTATCACAGACATTACGTACAGTGATGTGTCTGGGAGCTGTCTACTGTCTTGATCAGTACTCAAGTTACAAATGAAATTTGACTGGTTAACACAGCGTTACCGTTCACAAGTCTTTTATTATCCCTAAGTTCGATGTATATTGATAAACTGTTTTTACATTTCCATTTTAATGTTTCCTTAAGATCGAAGATTTATGGAGATTGTTCTGTTTGAAGATAATTTACATCATAGATTGAATCCAGTTAGGGAATTTCTAAAAATCATTAGAGAACTGTTTCGTCATATATCACTAGTGCACACACCAAGGATCGGAACTAAGACCTTCAAACTTAGTAAGGAGAGCCACTAAGTTTGGATTCAGTGGTTCTCGTTCCCAATTTTAATTGATTAGCGATATTTCGCGATCACCACTCATTGTCTCCAGTAATGCCTTCCTAACACCTGGCATAACCTAATCTTATCGGTCACAACTTCCCACGAAAACTTTCCTACTTAACTACACTTTTTGATTAGGTAGAATTTTCACATTCATTTTCTACCAATGGAATTTATTAAATAGTTTGATTATATACAGAAGAGATAGATTGTGGCTAGTAGTGGAACCTAGGACGCGTGACTTGTCAACTCCATACATCTGCATCCCATTGTTGATGTTCACTCCGAGTGTGATCATAGTTCGCTATGTGGAGACTCGTAGCTGCGTAATCTTGGTCGATTAATATTTGGTGTATCCCCTAATTCTTAATGACAGAACTTTATTTAAAGCTTAAACAGTCGTTCATGTTTCTTTTGTTGTATAGGTCGTCAGTTTTTTATAATTAGATTAAGCTTTTTAATGATGATTGGTTATCAAATTTATTTGTAGCCTTAAATGGAGCATTTCGAATTAGATAATTTTGTGCATCTTACATTTGGATTTTAGGCAAAGTACTTGATCAAAAAGAACTAGATACATTGATTTCTGTTTCTGCATCTATATTTGCCAAAAATGATGCACGCATTCAAAACTGTTCTGGGTAAGTTGTCGTGCTATAAAATCTTATTCTATAGTCAAAAGAATCAATTCGTTATTGAACTCTTTTCGTTGTTTTGTTAAAGAAATTAATCCCGGATAGATGGATACTAGATCGATACACTAATATGAATTTTGTTAGTGTATGTTAATTTGATTTCTAGTTTACCTCACAAACTGACTCCAGCAAGTATTTTGTTAAATGGCATTTTATTTATTTATTTGAACACAAATATTGGTACAAGGAAGCGCCAGATATATCTAAGCCGAACAAATCTCGTTCGATTTGCGTGAGGGCTGTGATACTGCCCAGGTGCCCAAACTGAAGCAGGTGGTTTTCTTAGGGGATCACACCCGGAGCCTTTGACCTAAATGTCTAACACACAAGGCAGTGGAGCATCGTGAGGAAATGCAGTCCCATGGCAGCTGGTGATTGACAATTGGTTCATACGCCATTTGTTCCCTCATGATACTGGAGCCCATGTGCACCATTGGTTTGGAATCAGGGTTTTCCAACTCCCCTAGGTGAACACTCCACATCCACCAACCCTGTTAAAGCGCCGGACATTCGCTTTTCGTCCTCTCAATTTCGTAAACAACAGTAATGCCACGAGAAGGCAGTGAGTAGGACTTCCCTGGCAGAGGCTATATACGCGTGGCCATATGAACTCCGCTTATAGCTCTTCTAGAGTTACTACCGGTCCCGAACTCGGGTAAAGGAGGAGAGTTGGGTATGGGGTTAGCGACCCCATCTCGTAGAAAACTAACCCGCTAGAAAAACACTAACCAGAAAACATAATTCAAACCATTTAAACTCTGCCCTGGGAGTTGAAGGGAGAATTATGACGCCTCAGGATGAAAGCCGAGATTTCCCGGAAGTCACGAGACCGATTTCCCTTCTAACAACCAGAGAAACAATTTTTATGGGTACATGGAACGTCCGGACAATGTGGGAGACAGGAAAAACCAGCCAAATAGCAATGGAAATGAGGAGATACAAATTGGCAGTATTTGGAATCAGCGAAACCCATTGGGCCGAGGCTGGACAGCAAAGGCTAGGTATTGGAGAGATGTTGCTGTACTCCAATCACGAAGAGGAAAATGCTGCGCACACTCAGGGAGTTGCTCTAATGCTGTCCAGAGAGGCACGAAATGCACTTGTGGGATGGGAATTTCATGAACCCAGGATAATCAAAGCATCATTCAGAACAAAGAAGCAAGGGATCACAATGAACGTTATCCAATGTTATGCACCCACCAATGATAACAACGACGATGATAAAGACCAGTTCTACTCGAGGCTGCAATCAATTATAGCAAAGTGCTCACGAAAGGACCTTACCATCCTGATGGGAGATCTAAATGCTAAAGTTGGAGTGGACAACACAGGATATGAAGATATAATCGGACGACATGGACTAGAAGAGAGAGATGAAAATGGGGAGAGACTTGCAAACCTATGTGTATTCAACAAATTGGTTATAGGCGGCACAATATTCCCACACAAGCGCATACAAAAGCTACATGGATCTCACCGGACCAAACCACAGAGAACCAGATAGATCACATCTGTATCAACAAAAAATTCCGAAGATCAATGGAAGATGTGAGAACCCGGAGAGGAGCTGACATAGCTTCAGACCACCACCTGGTTGTGGCCAAGATGAGACTGAAGCTAAAGAAAGACTGGACAACTGGGCAAACAGCACTACAAAGGTTCAATACGGCCTTCCTTCGAGATATTGACAAGCTCAATGAATTCAAGATAACATAACAACAGGTTCCAAGCTCTACAGGATCTACTGAAAGAACAAGAAACTACTTTGGAGGACAACTGGAAAGGGATAAAAGAAGCACTAACTTCAACGTGTCAGGAGGTTCTTGGTCCTAAGAAGCATCATCACAAGGAATGGATCTCTATGGGAACCCTGGACAAAATTCAAGAAAGGAAGAACAAGAAACTAGCAATTAACAACAGCCGAACACGAGCAGAGAAAGTCAAAGCACAAGCAGACTACGCAGAAGCAAACAAGCAAGTGAAGAAGAGCATTAAAGCCGACATGCAGAAATACATGGGAGAACTAGCAACGACGGCAGAAAAAGCTGTAAGAGAAGGGAATATGAAACAAGTGTATTATACAACGAAGAAATTGGCAGGGAGATATAGTAAACCGGAGAGACCAGTCAAGGACAAAGAAGGAAAGACAATCACTGTGATTCAAGAACAGAGGAAAAGATGGGCAGAATACTTCGAAGAACTGCTGAATAGACCGGCCCCATATAATCCATCGAACATCGAAGCAGCCCACACTGACCTTCCAATAGATGTCACTCCACCAACGATCGAAGAAGTCAAGATGATCATCAGACAAATCAAAAGTGGGAAGGCGGCAGGACCTGGCAATATACCAGCAGAAGCACTGAAATCAGACATTGAAATAACTGCAAATATGCTTCACCTTCTATTCAAGAAGATTTGGGAAGAGGAAGAAGTGCCAATGGACTGGAAAGTAGGATATCTCATCAAGATACCAAAGAAAGGAGATCTGAGCAAATGCGAGAACTACAGAGGCATCAGTATTTTATCAGTACCAAGAAAAGTCTTCAACAGAGTGCTGCTGAATCGGATGAAAGACGCAGTAGACGCCGAACTTAGAGATCGTCAGACTGGATTCCTTAAGGATAGGTCGTGCACAGACCAGATTGCAACACTACGGATCATCGTTGAACAGTCAGTTGAGTGGAACTCATCACTATACGTCAACTTCATTGACTATGAGAAGGCGTTTGACAGCGTGGACAGGAGAACATTATGGAAACTTCTTCGACATATATGGAGTTCCTGAAAAGATTGTCAACATTATCCAAAACTCATACGATGGACTACAGTGCAAAGTCATGCATGGAGGACAGCTGACAGAAGCATTTCCAGTAAGGACCGGAGTCAGACAAGGCTGTCTACTCTCCCCATTCCTCTTCCTTCTAGTGATTGACTGGATTATGAAGAATTCGACATCTGAAGGGAAATACGGAATACAATGGACAGCTCAGAATCAATTAGATGATTTGGACTTCGCAGATGACCTAGCCCTCCTCTCTTATACACACGAACAAATGCAGATGAAGACAGCAAGTGTAGCAGCAGCCTCCGCATCGATAGGCCTCCACATTCACAAAGGAAAAAGCAAAATTCTCAAATGCAACACGGAAAACACCAACCCAATCACACTTGATGGCGAAACTCTGGAAGATGTGGAAACATTCAAGTACCTGGGGAGCATCGTTGATAAACAAGGAGGATCGGATGCAGATGTAAAGGCGAGGATTGGCAAAGCAAGGGCAGCATTTCTACAATTGAAGAACATATGGAACTCAAAACAACTCTCGACCAATTTCAAGGTCAGAATCTTTAATACGAACGTCAAGACAGTCCTACTGTATGGAGCTGAAACGTGGAGAACTACTACAGCCATCATCAGGAAGTTACAAGTATTTATAAACAATTGTCTTCGCAAAATACTCAACATCCATTGGCCGGATACTATCAGCAACAGCGTTTTATGGGAGAGGACAAACCAGCTTCCAGCTGAAAAGGAAATTAAGAAAAGACGTTGGAAGTGGATCGGACATACATTAAGGAAATCACCAATGTGCAGCACGACTCAATCCCTAACTTGGAATCCTGAAGGGAAGCGGAAAAGAGGAAGGCCAAAGAACACACTACGCCGGGAAATAGAAGCCGATATGAAAAGGATGAATAGCAACTGGAAAGGAAGGCTCAGGACAGAGTTGGATGGAGAATGCTGGTGAGCGGCCTATGCTCCTCGACGAGGGGTAACAGGCGTAAGTAAAGTAAGCATATGAGAACATTTCGAGAGGGAGGGCGGACTCTCGCCACTCATATAAGTTAATTTAGAATTTTCTTACAAATATTCATAAATTTTACTATTAGAAGTCTGGTTTTCAATTTTTTTTTTATCTCCAATGAACTAGGGAGTCACAATGGGATTTAGTTGCATCTCTCAATGAAAATAGTGCTAATAGCGATCCTAAAAGTCGTTCGTATATTCGCTGCATTGTAACACGTGACTGCTCAGGTTTTCAAGTTCGTATGTCACCGTGGGAACCTCCCAAACATATTAACCAACAGGATGTTCATATTACTTCTCAGTCCTCCAAGTCTCAAGAATCACTTGTTAGTGTAGCTGATAATTTTAAATTGTCTGATAAAATTATAAACCATTCATATGATGACAATGAAGTAAGTTGATAAATTTGCTTTTCTCTTAGTTCATGTACATTTTTCATTACTTGGATTGCAACAACTTATCAATTACTATACAAGTCTCTAAATATTCTTAGCAAAATGTTTGAAGTGTACATAAAAATTACTAAAATAGTCTTCAAGAACTTTCGTCTAAATTTGAACGAATAATTTCACAGTATTTAGGCACCGAGTTAATGTAAGACATTCAGGAGGAAGAATATACTTGTAAAATCTCAGCGATTTAGTTTTAAGTAAATCCAATGTTTTACTCAGCTATCCGGTCCAAGCTTTTTCCAGGAAATATAATCAAACATCAACATTATCGAATATAAATAGGTATATGGCTTTCCGGTTAACTGTATACTAAATAGGTCATGCTAACAATGTTTGAACTAAGTATTTACTGTAGTGCGTATGATACATATGGTGTGTCACGAATAGCGTGTTAAGATAACAAACTGTACGTATTTGTAAGTGGATCTAAGGTATGCGAAGAAATTTCATTGACCATTTATTGCTTCTGATTGGTGAATTTTCGAAGAAAACACAACTTTTATATATGATATGAGTCAAAAATGTCACAGAATGCATAAAATGAAGATAAATAAACTAAGTAAAAATAGATGAATAAATGTTCATTCATTTTTCCATTGCTTGTTTAAATCTTCCCGTCGATGCTTAGGATTACAAATGTGCATCCTGTGCGGATTGTCTAGATATTTCCCTAAGTCACAAGCATTATAAGCAAAGATGGATGGTAGCTGGCAGTGCGTTTCGTTTTATTTGGGATTCGTCAGCTGGATGTACCCTCATTCCAGAGTTGATGTTCACTTCGAGACTCGAAACCAGCACCATTTGCTTCAAGTGCCGTCGCGTTATCCACTTAGCTACTGATCAATTGCAGTCCTATACATCAATTTGAACATTCAAACAAACAATACAAAAATGAATTCAAACTTCACCCCATTGCACAAGTTAGCGGCTCTCTGGATTTTAAAACTATATTCTTGCTCCTTACTAATAGCCATTGAAAATCAAAAATGTTAGACATTAAAAACTGCAGTGACTTGTTGACCAAGATTGGTTAGTATGATATTTGTTTAAGTTGCCTACAACTTAATTCTCTTATGATGATCAAAAGTTTAGATTCACTTATTACAGTTCGGTGACTTTCCATATTGATTCACACTGCAGCATTAACCAGATTAGTTGCACTAATCAGTCAGTAGGTAACAACCAACCTCATGTTTCTCACTCTATCGTGTTGGTCTGTATAAGTTATTAATTTAGTCGTGTTTGGAATAGCTCAGTGGTAACGTCTGTGATAGTAGGGTTGAGTTCCTGATGGAGCATAAGTGCGTTTTAGACTACTGAGGTTTGTTAATAATGAGTGTCCGATAACGCAAAATGTGGTTTACATATTTCATTCTGATTCGCTTCAGTCATCTTAAGGCAGGATAATATTTACCATGAATGTTCGCCTCTATGTAGGTCTACTGTCTTTTGAAATATATCATAAAATTATTTTGTGAACGGGAAGGAAGGCGAAATCTTTTAAGGAAATTTATTCTTTCTTGTGTTTGGTGAGAATTCCGGCAAATAAGCCATTTGTTTCCGCCCTTTTAAAACGAATTTTTGTGGTTGCCTAGTTGAGAGAATTCTTTACTAGGTTAATGGGTTGAACATCTTTCGTAAATTAACTGTTACAACTTTAGCATATATATTAGAGTTTGAACCTTTAATTAGGTGATTGAAATTCAAACGGGTCAACTGATTGGACACTGCACATGCTTAAAAATATTCTTCAGAATTGTGCATTGCTGCTTGAATTTATAATAAAATATTCTATTCATAAGAGTCTCATCCTTCTTTTGTTTTCAAAATTATCTAATAATCTGTCCAGGTGATTCTGCAATTACTGGATAAAAGTATCAATGCCATTTGCCTCCAATATCTTGGTACTGCATTTTCCATCGAGATAATGAACACAACGGCAGCATGGTTTCGTGCCGCTTATATGCCTCCATCCCGTGTTATTGACTATGGTTCAATTTGTATTGCTCCTATGCCTGGTTTGGTTCGTTCCGTTGCAGTCAAGGTAGGTGATCGAGTGAGCGAAGGTCAAGAACTATGCATATTAGAAGCTATGAAGATGCAGAACAGCTTGACAGCATCTAGATCGGGAGTTGTAAGTTTTATTATTTCAGAATTTTGTATATGAATATGTCTGCATCATATATTATGCGTAGTGTTAATTGAACACTGGAGCGCCATGACGATAGTAACAATAATAGTTACGATATTAATAATAAGAACTCTAATTTCATTTCTAATTAATTGTGACTCTGTACTACTATAATGTGAAATTACACTTTTTTAACAGCATTCAGATTTTTATATTCAAATTTATGCTCAGAATAATGTAGTGATACTATTTAATAGCTTATTTTGTTTGTGCCTAGGACACACGTCTTTTACTCCAGATGGTACTTTTATTCTGTGTTGTCAGATGAATACTCAAAAATTATTTTGTTTTTTACATACAAGTCTAAGTTATTGCAGCTAAGGCTAGAAAATAGCAAGACACTAAATGTTTAGTCTACGAGTGCATCCTGTCTCAGGATGTTGCAAACTTAGATACCTCAAATATTTGTTGCATATGCTAAGTTAATGGCTACCTAGAAGGGTGTGATGATGGTGATGGGTACAGTTAAACTAAGATGAAATAAATTCTTGATTGTTCAAATAAAAAAGTGGTTATGATTTTCAAAATCACCAAATGCTGATGTGTTTCATTTAAATGGCTAAAAGGTTTCCAGTTGATATCGCCACACGAGTAAAGTAAATGAGTTGGTTTTTGGGAAGTTAGCTCAAAATTCATTTCACAAGTGTAGATCCAGTCACGCTTTAATAGTTTACGAGGATTGGAGACCGTCTATCTGTCTGCCTTCTCTTACCAATGTTATCTGTTCATCTTTAGCTGCCGTCTTATCAAATGTGCAAACTTCTACATAAAATTCCTTACTTACCAGTAACTCATGATATATTTTAGAAGCTATCGCTTCTGGAAAAGCGGCAGTCCATGTATTATGATGCGGCTTTCAGGGGATTTGATTGTGAAAAATTGATCTCGGCTGCTTTTATAGGTATAAGGACGACTGTCACTTCCCGGCTGACCACACTATGCAAGCGTACTCTTCCTTAATAGACTTGAAAAGGAAACTGGATTAGTATTGGCTTTAGAGACTTGAGAGAGTGTCTATAAAGCTCACAAACAAGAATATATATATTACGTATTTACTTTCCTACTTTTTTCATGTCAAGTTTTCCATTCATTTTATAAAGAATTATTTTTACGTTTTGCAATTTTTTTCTTCAGATTAAAAAAGTAAATTTCAAAGCTGGTGATTCTGTCAGTGAAGGTGATATTTTAGTTGAATTAGGAAAATAGTAAACTTACCGTTATTCTACTTTCCTTATTTTCAAGTTTAAATATCATATGAATTTATTTGTAAAGCATTTGTACAATATCTGTGTAGTGTTGTCTACTTATATCCACATAAGTAGTATATGGTGATGGTCAGACATAGAATGTATTTTGGCAGAAGACCGATAAGGAAAGAACTGAAGTGAAGCACAATTGGTATGAAAACGCATGAACAATGGAATTAAAGAAGATGGATTGGTATTTACAGAAGGGAATGTGAAGATTGAGACAATTGATTGTTATTTTGTAAATTAACTGTTTACTGTATGATTATCAGAATTTAGTGAGGTAGTCTGTAATTTGTGCTTAAATACATTCGATTATCTTCCACTTGTGTTCTTGTTCACTACAGCTGCTCAATTCATCTTTCTCTTCATTTATTATATAAACCATTATTTTGATCTGATTATGTAATTGTTTATTGATCTGTTCTTCTACTGTGAATTTTTTTTGTTTTGCTTATCAACTATTCATCCGTTGCCATCATCAATTATGTTTCTTGTGAGAATAATAAACAATATTTTCCTGCTAGTCAATAATTATTTCCTTTTTGCTAGCGATATATATATATATATATTTGATGTTGAATAGACGAAATTTTTTGTGTAATATAGTTGTACAGTATTGATCTATTGAATAGATACAATTACCAAAAACAAAGACTGATTTTCAGTAGTTTTTCCCGACTAGAATCTATTTCAGGAAAGAAAAAGACCTATCAGTAAATTTGAAATAGGTATTGTATCATAGTGGTAGTCTGCATAATATATTGTAGTTTAGTGAATAGTTTTCAAGTTTATGCTTAAACAACGCAAATAGAAGAGCATAATTACTAGTCAACGGGAGAGTATATTATCGCCAAAGCTCATCATATCATAATGACCAGATGCTCTGTATACTAAGTTAAGTAACCTGATATTTCAGTGTACCGTGATTCATATCTGTCATTTGGGAGATTTCATCGAGAATCTTTGGATCTAGTTTCGGTACTAGAAGTCAGCACTGAGAAAGCCATCCAGCGGTTTTTGATCTGTTTTCCGAGGGTTCAGTCTCAACATGCATAGATCACGTTTAGTTTAATACATAAAACTCAGTATATCGATATATAAATTAGCATGAAAGCAGTTACAAAAATGATTGGTATGATCAAGCCACAAGAACTCTCTTGTTTTGCTGTTATGTCCGGTATAGTATATAGGGATCGCCACTCTGAGTTGTAATACCATAAATTGTCAGCCATATGCAACGCAGTACCTGAAGCACCTATGTATCGGTTCAAGTTTTCAAACTACATCAGCACAAGTTAAAGTCAAGACAAATCCCAGAAAATCAGAAGTAGTAACAATATCAGTAGCTGCATTTGAGATGAACCATAGAAATATATATATATATATATATATATATATGATCTACCACTTATTTAATTAAGTTAGTACACCCACCGGTTAAGTCCTGATAGTAACTCCGATGAACAATAATTATAGGTTAAACAGTCTGTTTAATATTTAGTTGCTAATTATTTCAGGGAATATGAAATTAATTTTCAGGAAACTGGTATCATTTTAGTTGAATTGAATCTTACCGTTGTTAGTATTAAGGATTAAAATTGATCAGTTGCTTGACCTGTGGGCATCCTTATCGGATCCCCTCAATATTGCCACTATTCTCAAGTATTTTCAAAGGGAGTCAGAAATTGACTGGTAATGTAAAAGAGAACACTCATTTAATTTGATTGATGTATCTTCATTCTTACTGGCTTCGCTTTCTAAGATTAATAGTGTCGTGATTGATTATTCATGATGATTACTGAACATTTTGACTGTATATCAGTCTGGTTCCTCAAGCTAACATGAAGTGTCTGTTTTATTTAAATGTAGGATAACATTACTTTTTATCAACACTTAGTCACTGTGTTTGATATTCAAGTGATCTGGTTTAACAGTGTCCGTAATTAATACAGAGGATATGTTTTGAAATCGGGTTTTATCATATTCCATCAGAAAAATCCACAAATTTCCAAAATAAATACTTTATTTTCAGACTTTAATTCATGTATACATATTTAGATGGTTGATAATATGTACAAAATAGTTAAACTAATCAAATAATTAAGGATCAGTGTATGTTTGAATTTCAGTTCTGTTGGAGTGATCAAGAAAATTTCTCGCAAGAGACAAGAAAGGCTCAGGAAACACTAAAAAGCATTTTATTCAATCAGCGTTCACTATAAGTTTTGCCAGGAACATCACGAAAGTGAAATCACATGTAGAGTTTTTCACATATGTAATTCATAATGTTCATGTATAATCAGTAGGAATTTACTGATATATTTTAAAGTTCATTGTTAAAACAGAACTGTAGTTTATGGACTGGTACAATAATGCACTGATTCGGGTTATTGATGTATAAGTAAAACTGGTAAACAAGTTTGCAAAATAGCTGCTAAAAAACAACTAAAGTGATAAGATATAAAGTCTTGGTAGTAAAATGTTGAGTATTACTGGTGATTCATTCGAATGAATTAAAATATCTTCTTGCAACCATATTAAGACATCACTTTAGCATTTATATCTGCGCCCAAAAACGACTTGATTCCCTCGATAACTCTCAAACCAGAAGACTGTAGCTGATCTAGATAGAGTATATTTATTGGCGATCTCGTGGTATCGAAATAATACTGAGACGTGCTAACGAGTACAGGCAATAAGGACAGAGCGTAAGAAAGTTCGAACCAAACAAGGCGGACGAAAAGTGACTTTGATACAGTCAAACAACAATGAGTACGATAAAACAATCACTGGTACAATTTGTCATAATAATAATTGTTTCCATTATTCCAATCGTGTTCTCGTCGAGAAAAGCAGGTCACTTAAAACCATCACTTAAGCATTTATATCTGCTGAAGGTTAAGTAGTCTCAGTGTTTCTTTTAAACATAATATCATATGATCTGGATGATGAAAGCAAAACTATGATAATAAAGTTATCCTTCTTTACTTCCGTCTAGAACTTTGTTGATCCAAATAATAAAATGAAAATGTGTACATGCAGTACAACTATACACTGCTCATATTTGCGGTAATGTATTGTGTACGATTTCATGATCACACAACTTTTGTTAGAACTTGTACTTTATCTCTTTAAAAATTCAGTTTTACTCAATGGACTTTTGCTATTGTTGGAAGTGAAAATCAACTCGAAATTCTCAATGATTTAGTTCAGAGAAACAAATGCTAAAAGGTGTTGAATTAGTTCATCGGGCAAACTATATACTGCAATTCTAGCTGTTTTAAATGATATCATACTGCCTGTTTAGTCAAAAACAGAGTTAATACTTCACAAGCATTTGAATACAATCTTGCAATTTGCATAACAGATGAATCTTCTTCGTATGATCAATTTTAGCTTTTTATTGCCTCTCCGCTTCTAAAAGTTTTAAATCATGCTACATTTTGAATTACTTCTATCATAATAATTCTATTTAAGCTTTATCACATCTAAAAAAAATTTCATTATAACGCCTAGGCACAATTAATGTTAATGATTTTCTTCTGGGTTTTTCTGACAAGCACATAATTAGATCTTATTTTCGTCTTAGATGCCTTAATGTCCTTTTTAATTTTATTATAAAATTAGCTTACTTACAAATATTAAGTAGTACAACATTAAAAACGTTATTAGATGCATATGATAACTGTCAAATTGAAATACGTATTTTATTGATTAATAGTAACCATGTGTTAGTTTAATTTGTAGTAAGCATGGCATATTTGTAGCCTATGACTCACTTTTTATTTCTCTATACAGTGCAATTCTAACGAATAGTCAATTAACAGTTCCACTGAGGGATTTTTCTTATCATATTCATAATTAGTGACCTTATTCATTATTTAATATATAGATAAGTTTCATAACATGTTATTTGTGCTAGAAAATGTTCGCAAAAGCTAACATGTGATTTTTATAGTTCTACCCGCAAATAATAAATATAGTCTAAACACAACTTAGCAATGAAAACCAATGAGCCAAATTATGAAATCGAAATCGAAGAGTAACATTAACTCTGATAGTCCTAATATTGACGACACTATCAGTAGTAGTAATAGTAGTACTGGTTACTATTTTAACAGTTATGAAACCCTAAGTCCTACAACTGCAACTTTATTACCAAGAAATTTATTAGATAGTCCAATACTTAATGATCAAACCATTTTATCACCAACTTCATTTTTGTCAACATCAAAGAATACACGAAGTAATTCTTATCTACAAATACCTATAATGCATTTGAAAACAGAAGACAGTGATTTGAAGATTCAATCTTTTGATGATAATAATGACATTAGCTCTGATGTTACTATTTCTACGACAAAAAGTACTAATGCTAATCAACATACTGACAAATACTTCACGGGATTTTATTTAAAAACTACCTATTCTGATGTTAAATTCATTATTAAAGATCCATTTATTATTGAAAAATTGATTCTACTACCTATGACTAATTTATTTCTCTATTTAATGAAGAAAAGTAAGCCTAAAGTTAATGAAAATGAATCAAAATGTAATTACAGTAAAAGTACTCCTGTTTGTACAACTACTAATAATGAAATATCTGACTATTCATCTTCAATATCATCACAATCATCATCTTATACATGTCAATTGATTCATTCTAAACGTGTATTAATGGAATTATATAAGAACTATATTGAAACTTATGGATATTTAAAACATTCAAAGCGATTTGTTAAATATGCATTGAAAGATTTTCCTGATTGTGAAGAGAAATCTAACCTTCTGAAATTACTTAATAAATGTAATAGATCAATCAGTATGTTGAATAAACCAGATGAATCTTCTAGTCAACATAAAATGAATAGTGATACATTCAACTTTGGTCTAAATGTTAATAGAACACCATCTGATTACCGGTTCTCCACATTTTCACCATCATCATCAACGATCTCATCATCTAATACAACATTATGCCCTTTTCAAAGTTCATCATTTTCAATAAATGATTATTATTATTATCATCATCATTGTCAACAAGATCCAATACTTTCATCAGATTGGTCTTTAAATATTATAAATATATCACCATTTGAATTAACAAATAATTTGTCAGAAGTAAATCATTTTAAATCCAATTATATTATACAAACAAAACCAATTTCAACCTATTGTGTTGATATGAAAAAATCAAATAAGGTAGGTAGAAATGATTCTGACCCTAACCTTAACTCTAACCTATGCAGAATATTTTGATTAGTAGAAACAAAATTTTGTCTTCTATTTTTTTAAAGATAAGAAGTTGAACAATTTTAAAGTAGCGGGTCATTGTTATATAACCTGGCAGCAAACAAATAATACATCTTGTATCCAGTTTAGTAGATGGAACTGCCTTAGATAAACAGTGAGAGTAATCTGTTATTTTAATGACCTATTACTTCACTATAACTATCTTCATATAAATAAACCTTTTATTACGCAAGACAAAGTCAATGAATTTCTGGTGGCTGAAATAAATTGATAAAAAATTGAATAAAAATCATGAAATGAGCAACAAAATTCAGAGATATAACTGAACTAATTGACTTAACATCAAAAGGTACTCGATTTGCTGTTCAGGAGCGAGAAGTTCATCTATCAACGGTGCTAACTAGCAAAAAATCACTAATACAAAATTTTAATAGTGTTCCAAGATAACTAAATGACTACCAAACCAGAAACTCAAGATATAATTAATTGATCTAATTGGCGAATACTCTAGATGTTCTGATGATTCAATATTCAGTGATTCAAGTTTGTAGACGATAAATATTTAATGGACAATGAAAATAAATTAACTTAAAGATAACATCATGAAGTGAACAAAATTATATGATACACAGTATGAGAGAGATAAAGCGAGCTGAACAATTAGCCTATATTATTTAGTATGAAATTCAGACAGCGTTTGGACTTGTATAAGGGAACGGAAAATAGAGGTTGATCTTGCGTGTGTCTGAAAATGAGTACCAGGTAATATGGGAAATTATTAAAAACTTCGAAATCTTAATTTGTGAAATAGTAGTCCAAACAGTGCACTCAGAGGATCAGAAAAAACTAAGGTTTACATATTCGAACTCGTTCTCATATCACAAATAGACGAGAACCGGTGAAATATTAGAGAAATAATAGGTGTTTGTCTTTCTGAGATGATTTTATTTTTGACTGCTTGGCTATGAACGGTTTTATTAATCTAGAGTTACCATACTCAGTAATTTGAGTTCCTTGTCAAGCTTTTACACATTTTTGTGTTATTTTAAATATCACTTACCTCCATAGCCTAGAAGAAATCCTGCTCTAGGTGCGAATAAATGTGTAATTACGTCTGATTCCAATAGCCTTTTGAGTAATTTTGATCCATAAATATATTAGTCTTTCTGCAATAGGAACTTTTTAAATTATTTAACCAGTTGGTGGTTCAAGTAGATTCCTATCAAGTTTCTACTGATTTTTTGAGTCTCTAAACATCTACTAAATCAATGAATTGGTGTATTTGAGAAACACTATTAACTTGGCGTACTGGTGTTCTTCATTGTTAGGATCAGAAAAACGTAGTCGAATGAATTAACAAAACTTCTGACTTACTGAGTCACCCTCCCACAAACTGTGTATCTTAGACAACGTTTACGTTCATTGAACTCCAAATGCTTCCCACAAACTTCGTAACTAGACCAATCAATTTTCGCCATTTTCGATACATAGTTTACAAAATATGAAGACCTTCTTCCTACCTATCAATCAAAACTTGAAGTCAAAAAATAATGCTACAGTGGCAAATTTCTGAAATTTAATTATTGATGACATGATAAGTATTTCTTGTAAATTTTCAAGGATCAATTATTTTTGTTCTATCAAGGTGATCGAAGCTTGGAGATAATGGAAAAATAAATAATGACCTTTCGAACATGTGGAAATCATCAACTGAGTATGTGGTAATTTTGCCAATCGCTTAGGATCACTTGAATATTTTTTTTACTGAAGCCTAATTTTTTCATAGGGTATTGATTTTCAAAACAGAACTATGATCAAGAATAAACAATAGTCAAATATATTCTTTAAGAAGTAACGAATAAATGTCTCAATTAGTAGGTTTTAAATATGCTACAATAACGGTCAAAAGTGAGATGAACATTCAACTGCCTACGCTAATGTAAAACAAGGATAAGGGGAATACGTAGAGGCAGCATGTAGAAACAGTAATGGTTTCTGACATTTACTAGTTTACCAGAGATTTTAAATTTGGTATCTCGACCTAATATATTTGTTCATATACCACCTTCGTGACTACAATCCATAAAAATATCACAAGGGAACTCACTACAGATTCTGTGCCCCCGAGATAACTAAAAACACATTCTATCAATGCCAAATATACAAATAATACATGTAAAATGACTGTTGCTTCAAATAGCAGCAGCCTATGAAGTTAAAAGTAATAGTTCAAATCCTGATTTATGGGGATTTCGAAATAGCTCAGATATCAAATTATCTGTGAGCGAACCTTTATTTAATATCCATATCCTGATCTATAGATATTGTTATCAACTGCGTTCATACTTTTTATTTATGATTTTTTTTTCCGATCAATTTGATTATTTTTATAGATTTGTAGACAACTTGCCACATTGAGACCAGAAATCAAAACTATAATTTCCTTTTTACTGCTCTAGGTTTCATCAAATGGTTCAAAACATAAGAACGATTCATTATTCAACATACGCTACAAGACACAAGTATGCAAATATTTTCAAGAACATGGTGGTTATTGTCCAGTTGGAGTAAAATGCCATTTTGCACATGGTATAGAGGAACTGCGAGATCCTAAATCACATCCAAAATTTCGTAGTCAAATATGTCGAAACTATTCAACCACTGGTAACTGCTCATATGGTGATAAGTGTTATTTTAAGCATTTCATAAACGGTTTGCCGTCAACAACAACAACAACAGTAACAACACCAAAATTAGAAGTATTCAATGATGAAGAAAATCCATCACCTGATTCAACTAGTCAACCATTGAAACATTCATTGAACTGAAAAGAAGTGATATTGGAATGAAAGGATTAGTATTGAACTACATGTGAACCTAAATGAACGAACTTAGTGAATGAGCAAAAATGTTAATAATACTGACTTTTATCTAGTTAGTGATGTGTAATAAAATCCGTATTTTTAATTCTTACTGTTATACCTCGTATAGATTTATGAATGGTAACTTTGAGAACTATTTATGGACCAATATGATAAGTGTAATTCCTATTGTATAATTGTTAAGCAACTAAACTATTCATATTCGTGTTCCTTTTACTATGAGCTTTATTTTGACCTATGAACTATTATTTTACAATTTACCATACTTGAGTTATCTTTAGTCCATTAATTACTGTTCCCCCTATTCACAGCCACATTCGGCCAAATCTTGTACAAATGTTATTTTCTATTTTATGGTACGATGTGGTCAGTTTGTTTGGTATATAAACCCAGTATGTTTGAGAATAATGATTCATGGTGCAGTGGTTGTTATTGGTGTTCTGGATTTAATTGGCTGGGCTAGGCAGAAAGCAGAGCCGATACGCACTCTAGACTGCTTGTACGGTGTTTGTGTGTCACTGTCCCAATCGATAATTTGCTGCTCCCTGATTGGCGATTTTATCACGTCATATGTTAACAAGGTCATCCACTCAGCCACTAGATATAACACTTACTTAACGGTTTAAAGATCCTCAAAGAGTATTTACAAAAAAGATGTTTGAGTGAATAATCATCTTAAATAAATTCGTCATCAAGTTCTTGCATAGCAAAAGAATTATTGACCGATGGTTATAGAGTACAATGACAAAGTTACTGAAGATAATAGTTCGCCCGAAAATCCTTCGTTTTTAAATGCTAATTTAATGCACCCATACATGGTACCTATATGAAGAACCATGATTAAAGAAATAGAGATAATGAATAATTTAGTTGTTTTCCGCAAATACAAAGTAATCACAAGTAACTAAAATTCATGTAACAGATCGCAATCTTATAGAGCAAACAACATTAATGAGATATGCTATATAACTCCTATAAAGTGAATTTTATGATATAATATACTCAGAAAATTTCATGAATTGGCTTTGAATTTATTGAATTGAAAAGGATTACAGAATTAAATGTAGATGAAATATTTGTAAATAATCAATGTTCTTGGTTGTTAATGGTGTTAGGTTCGGAGACATAATACTACAACAATAATAGGAAGAAATTATGGTTTGAATAAAATTCAACCACTAACAAATGTGTTTGAATGGAGAATACTGGTGTGTGGCCTATGCTCCTCCACGAGGGGTAACAGGCGTAAGTAAGTAAGTACTAACAACCGTGTATAGATTAACCTAGATTGGTTTGATAAAAGTATAAAATCATAAAACTATACAAACTTTTTATGAGAATTTATCCATAATTTCATCAAATTATATGGAATCAAAAAGTAGAAAGTTATTTAAAAGATGAATTAGTACAACTAAACAAGTTCGTGTATATTGGCTAATGATCACTTGCTCAATTTATATGCTTCCTGTATATAGAAAATGAAAACAGAAGATATGTTTTTGTATAACCCCACAGACAGAATTACGAAAAAGGATTTTTGATGGTAGATTAGCATTTATAATAATTAATTATATAATCCTTGAATTCATCATTATCTTTAAAAGTGATGTCAGTCATGATGAATTCTTTTCCTAGTTAGTCAGTTGGTTCATTGGGACCTCATGAAATCATTACAAAACTAATCACTAGAGATCAAATGATAAATGTCATGTTTAATCAGCAAAGATGGACAGTGGCTAGCAGTGGAATGCAGGACGAGCGTTTCATCCTATTTGGGACTCGTCAGCTGGATGTACCTGCATCTCAGAGTTAATGTTCACTCTGGGACTCGGACCCGGTGCCGTTTGCTTCAAACGTCATCGTGTCATCCACTCAGCTACTGAGTCCTGATATCCCCTTGCTTGTGCAATGGCGACAAAACTCACTTCCTGGATTCCACCGCTAGTCACTATCCATCTTTGCTTATAATGCTTCTGAATTAAGGCTATATCGAGGCAATGCACACAGTATGCACATATGCTAATAAGAGACTGATCAATTGCAGTCCTAAAACATCAATGAGAAGATTCAAACAAACAATACCAAGTGAAATCTTGTTTAATGATTTAAATTAATTTTAACAGTTAAACTAATGGTCAAGTAATACTGATGGCTTATTTAAAAAACCATACATATTTACTTCTATAAATGTTTCACTTTGTCATTTTGTCGTGTCAGTTGTCAGTTAAGCTAAGTCAATTCGTAATGAAAATTGTCTTGATTTGTTTCATCCCATTGTATATATATACATATAGCATTAAAAGAAATGGATAGACATTTAAGCAGAGTTTAATTCTAAATAAAATCACAACAGACAATTAGCTTTATTGTTTAAATTCACTTCTTTAATAAATCTTAAACATACACACACACACACACACGAACACTCATACAAAGGGTATTAATTGTCAATAAAAACAACAACTTTGAGAACCATTGTATTGAATTAGACTTATTTTAATTGAACCATCATTAGAAATAAGTTTTGCCACTTATAATAAACACCAGATTGAATGAATTATTGGATAGATTAAAGAAATGAAAATTATATTTCACTAAATATAGATTAGAAAAATGAATTGATTTCTCGATTAAAAGAAAAAAAGGAATTGAAGGTTTTCTAGAGAAAATGATTTTAATCATTCATTTATTTTCAGAAGGGGTTTTTTTCAATTGACTCACGCTTTCAATTATGAAAATACTAAATCCCCACAAAAAAACTCTTCAGATAATAATGATCATATGCTCACTAGTGACTGACTTTGAGAAGTAAATCCAGGAGTTCTAGTGAGAAGTAGTGACCAGTGGGGTTCAAACTATGTCTGTTGTGAGATATCAACTAACTGAAGACAATTGGTGAACGGTTGCTCAACTTCGAGGATTGCTCGAAGTTAGACATTAACACCGTTGGATGCCGGATCAGTGGTCTAGAGGTTAAGTGCTCTGGCACGAGACTGGTAGGTCCTGGGTTCGAATCTCGCGAGGCGAGGTCGTGAATGCGCACTGGTGTGGAGTCGCACAGTAGGACGAAACGGCCTTTCAGTGCTTCCAGGTTTTCCCTGGTGGTCTAGCTTCAACTGACTCACGCTTTCAAATATTCATTTATTTGAAATACATTTTTCTTAGTGATATATCAAGTTTATAACGGTGAAATAATAAAAGTTTTTTACGTGTTGTGGTGATCTCTTTAATAATCACTAGTTACCTTCAAATTACCTTTCAATGATTTCTGAAAGTGATCAGCAATAATTTTGAAGGCTTAGAATATATTTTAATTAAGTCTAAGCAGCTATGTTCACCTTTATTTTTTATGGACATTGAAGATGATAAAATTTCTACTATCTATAGTCATTTTTGATGTACAAGATGGCTATCATAGAGATATTGTGGTGTGGTCTACTTATATCCACATAAATAGTATATGGTGATAGTCAGACATAGAATGTATTTTAGCTGAAGATCGATAAGGAAAGAACAGGAATGAATCGCAATCGGTATGAAAATGCGTCAACAATAAAATCAGAGAAGATAGACTGATATTTGCAGAAGGAACAGTTAAGATTGAGACAATTGATTGTCATCTTGCAAATTAACTTTTTACTGTATGGTTATCAGAATTTAGTGAGATAGTTTGTAATTGGTGCTTAAATACATTCGACTGCCCCCCCCCTCCGTGTTCTTGTTCACTACAATACTAGACATATTGGATGGTGAATTCAGCAGTGATTATGGTTATAAGTAGTCATTACTTGATTGGTATGTTTAACCTAAACAAACAGATCAAAATAAATAACTCAAGACCTGGTGGAAGTGTATATCTTCCCAAACACTGATTAACATACATGTTTAAGTCCAGTGCTAAGTATGGAAGTGATTCAACCGCTGTTGAATGACAGTCTTATTAAAAGATATTCAAAATCTAATAAAAATATTTAAAAACTGAAATAAATGATCTTTATTTTTAACCCTCTTAATCCTACAGGAATTTAGAGCAAATATAATTCCAACCTATGATTCTGACGACAAACAGTCTTACATAATAATTTTAAAATTAAATGATAAATCAAGATGTTTAGTGGATAAAAAGACTTAAAAGTATGTTTTCTATGTCAACTGACATTTCTCATAGAGAAGTTACAAACAATGGAAATGAACAGTTAACTTATGGTTATCATAATATTTCTAACGGACATTAGTATATTGTTATATCCCTTGGTGAATTATGAATGGTAAATCTGAGGTCTATTATCGACCAATGTATTATGCCTATTTCTTATTGTACAATTATTACGTAACTGAACTATTCATATTCGTATTTCTCTTATCATTAGCTTTATTTTGACCTTTGATTTATTATCATACGATTCTTGAGTTATAATCAGTTTATCGATTACTTTGGTTTGTATATAAACCCAGTATATTTGTAAATAATGATTCATATTGTCGAGGCTGTTATTTGTGTTCTGGACTCAACTGGCTGGGCTAGGCAGATAGGAAGGACCGAATAGCACTCAAGACTGCTCGTACGATTTCAATCATCATTCGCGTCCGATCAGTAAAATACACTACCTTCTCTAATTACACGTCCATATATATTAAGAGTCCTATACGTTATAACATATATGATATTATTACCCCCCCCCCGAAACTACTAAATTACTATCAGTATCCTTTGTAAAACAATAACAGGATAAACTTGTTGATTAACGAAACTCTTTGAGGTTCATAGGTGTTAACTCTTAAATGTTTTCGAAAAATTGTTCACATATAATTGAACCACAAGTTTAAGCCAACTCGAAATGATTTAAAAACATCGACCATATCTTATATTTCATAATCAAAATAAACCTGTGGCATCATCATCATGATCCGAATGCTATAAGTGATAATCTTCTAAATAATAAGTTTACATTAATAGATAAATAATTCTGAATTTCATAATAAGTTTTCATATGTTACCTAACATGTAAGACATTTCATATCAATCTCCTTTAATTACTTATTTAGTTTGAAATATGTAAAAATCAGTGATGGTAATTATAAAATTTACTTGATATACATTTAAATTATTTACAATTTGATTTTGATTTTAATAATTGAGATCATGAGTCAATTGAAGCTAGACTACCATGGAAAACCTAGAAGCACTGGACGACCGTTTCGTTCTATTGTGAAACTCCTGGAGTTCTAGTAAGAAGCAGTGACCACTGGATTTCAACCACGTCTGTTGTGAGATAGTAACTCACTGAAAGCAATGGTGGATGTGTCGCTTATTTTCGTGCATTAGTTGAAGTTAGACATTAACACCGTTGGATGCCGGCTCAGTGGTTTAGAGGTTAAGTGTTCGCGTGCAAGACTGGTTGGGCCTGGGTTCGAATCTGAAGAGGCGG